AGCAAGAGAAACAATCTTAGACATATTCACTAAATAAAAGATGGAACATGAAAAGCATCAAGAAATACCTGCATGTTGCCAATAAGTAATGCAAACAAAACCAGTCCAGCAATGGAAATGACAACAGCAAAGATATTCTCCCCAGCAAAAGTGCTTGTTTTCAGATTCTGCCCTAGAGAGCTGAGAATGAATAAGGAAAACATTAATTTTTGAGTTACTCAATAATCAATAAGAAGATTGTGATATACAAACCTGAGATTACGCAGACCCCACCAGAAGCAGTAACAGAATTTTTTAGGGAAATCCCTAGATTCCACAATCCCTGACTGGAGTGCATCAATAAATATTCCAAAATTCAAGACTGTTGAATTTGTATCATCAGGATTGATCAAAGGGCAGTAAGTATTCAGGAGAGGTAGCCAATCAGGGTTTGATGAATTATCGGTTCGTCTAGGGTCTTTATCATCATTACAGTACAAAAGACGTCGGTCACGCCTATATATCCTAGCAACCTTACCCCAACACCAGACTTGTCTTTCTACTGAAAGCGAGTACCAGATGGCCCCTAGAACCTGGAATGGAAAGGTTTATTTAAGTGTAAGGAAATCCAAACTATCCCAAAAAAAACAAAAGGCACTTACATGGCTGGCTAGCATGTAGAGCAATAGATTCAAAGCAGCTCGAGTCCTAGCAGTTTCCGAGACAATGCCTGAAGTTCTTGAAACCACCATATAAAGGGGAGCAATTCGAACAATTCTCGGCACATATTGACAGATAATAATGTATCTTAACGACTCCTTCGTTACTAATGCAACCGGCAGGCCTTTCAATGAAGGGACAACCAAAATTACAAGCTGAGAGAGAACACAAAGTAACAGAAATTGTTAAGTTGCAATCTTTTCTTTGATGTTATATTGAAGAACTTAATTGGGACTTACTACAGAGAAGCAACAAACCTGTGGAAGTGGAAGAATTGACAGGACGTCGATGATGAAGTATGTGAACAAGTACCTCTTTGCAATAGTCCGAGGATTAACAATCAACTCACCCGTACCAAAGACTCTAGAAGAAGCGGCAATGAAGCCGGTTCGGAATTGAAAGATCATGTGAATTATATGGAAGGCATCCATGAATGTACGAAGGACACAGGCAATGATTCCCAGTTCTTTATCCAGGTTGAGGCATCTTCGGGTTTTGTCATTCACAACCACTGGGATGTAGACGAAAAGAGGGTCCAGTGCCACAGCTATTATACAGAATAGGAGAAATATTTTGTTCCAGTTTTGAAGGAAAGATCCCCGTGGATCAAGAATTTTCTTTTCTGACTTGTTACGGGCAGAGTGTAAGTTGATTTTGATCCTTCCAGAACCCATCTCAACCCCTCTCCGGACACTTTCCACGACAGAAGCCAGTGAGTTTCTAACTTTCCTCGGAAAAATTACATCAGCATAACGCTCAGTTAAAGATTTATCTGATGCGATGATGAGAAGTTGCCAAATGCAAAATTAAGAAAGAAAAAAAATGGGTTTAGTATTCAAACTTCAGCGCAATTAAATAGAACTTAAAATTAATGCTTAGAGAGGCTAACCTCACAAATTTATTTCCCTCGATATTCATAGCTTCAATCACTTATATATACCAATCAAGCCCTGCAAAAGCTCAATTTTCCATAATCAGTTCTGTTTATTTGGATTGTACACAAATAATTATAATACATCATTAAATGAGTCGACTAAGTAAAAAAAATCAATAAACATATCATGTTATAAGCTATTACATAATATTATAAATGTACTATTTTAGTTGTTAAATAGGAGTTTCGAACCTGCTTTTTGTTTTTTTGTTTTTTTCTTAATTTTGGAAACTTAAACTAGAAATGATGATATCATGAAGATCATCCATCGAAGTTAAAACTTTGACCGTATCTTCATAATTTCATAATATCTATAAGACTATAACTAAAAGAAAAGTAACTTAACTTCATGCATGATTAAAAGTTAAAACTCAATCAAAAGATGTCTTAAGTTTGGTTACCAAGAAAACGGATTAAAAAGAGACTAAAATTAAGCTTTCTTTCCTCCAGAAAATTTAAATGCAGACCTCTATCAAAGTCGAGATCAGTTCCTCGCGCTCATTTACCACGACCGGCCTTGAATTCTGCGGTTGAGTTGAGGAACGGCGACGAGGAGAACAGAAGTCTTCCGGAATCGAACGAAAAATCTGGGAGAGATTTTGAACGTTGAAAAAATAGAAAGAAATTTCGTTAAGTAAAGGCCTTTTCAGAAGAAGTTTGCCGGAGAGTCTCCGATGGCAGTTACTGCGTTTTCCAGGAGAGAGAAGTAGGGATGGAAATTGAAATAGGAGGGAATACGGCCAATAATAAAAGCAGTGGGAAAAGTTGAAGATGATAAAGAAAGAGGAAAAACGAGAAGGTTAAATCACCATTTTGGTATCTTAACTTTGAGTTTTGGGCCAAGTTGGTCCTTAAACCTTAAAAATTACCAAATTGTCTTTAAACCTTATTTTTCTATTACTAAATTGGTCCTTTTGTTAACGGAATTGTTTGGTTGTGACTTGTGACATTAATTTGCCATGAATTCATGCTGATTTTAAATATTATATGGAATTCATTTTTTTTTTTTTTTTTGCTTATCATGGCTTTTATATGTGCATGTCTATACTTCAAAAATTAAAGCAATTGATTTAAAATTTTACTTTTTTTATTGGCCAAACATTTAACCCTAATCGAGTTTAGTTACAAAACTATTCATCCCTGCCTTCTTCCCCCACTTCACCTTCTTCTTCCTTTCTTTCTCTTTACTCTTCTTCTCCGACACCAATGATATCTTCCTCCTTGTCTCTTCTTTGGCATCAATGATCTCTTCCCTCTCCCTTCATTGGTGCCCTCTTCATCTCTTCTCTACGTGTCTATCTCTTCTTCCCCTTCTATTTTATCCCATCACCAATCTCCCATATGGCAAATCAACTAGATTAGATTCATTGCATAAGAACCTAGATTTGCCCAAAAATATCCCATAGATTGATGATGTTGCTTTGAAAATGAAGTCTCCATTCTTCTACAGTTAGATTAATTTGTGCTTGTTTTGCTTGATTTTGTGGCCAAAATTCT